ACAGAGGTATTTTGGAGGATCAAGTAAAAACTATACTTGTGAGAGTCCCTGGCTTATGGGAGTTTCCAGTAAATGCTTGTCTCTCTTCCTTCTACTCCAAACTTCCTGCAACACCCAGAAGAATGCTGTGCACTCCCTGCCTATTTGTGGAAGATGTCCTTAGCAGATGCTGTCTAATTCTTGTAACATCTGGTTTGGAAAAGCAGAGACTGAAGGTTTTTGTTTTTGTTTTTAAGTAGTCGCTCACTGTGAGATGTCAGATGGTCACTTAATTGTTCAATTGTTCTGTGCCTCAGTTTCTCCTCTTGTAAATCAGAGATAATGCTACCAATGCTGGCTAGCTGCTCTGCAGGATAGAGTAGGCTAATGCAAGGTAGCAGATGGAAAGTGGTTTGAGTGTTTAGAAAAAGGCTTCATCTCAACCTCATTTGTAGTTAGGGAAATGCAAACAAAAGCAAGACTGTGATGCCATTTTTCATGCAGCAGATTGGCAGCCACTTAAAAGAGGAATTTCTTCCAGATGATTATGTGATCTTCTCATACACTGCTGGATAGAGTGAATTGCCACCACCTTTTCTGGCCAGGTCTAATAAATGCTTACCTACATGCTCTGTGTTGTATTGCATTGACGGAGCAATCTTCTATTCTGGAGAATAAGATTCAAGAGAAATCAAAGTCCCTATGTGATTGTGTGCAGAGGGATGTCCACGGTGGCAAACATCCAAATGCCCATCCATAGGGGATGGTTGTCTCCTTTAAGAAAGACTCATCCTAGCAACTACTGTTAAAAAGAAGGAAGTCAGTGTCACAGGGTTGACCTGGAGGTCATCCGTGAAATACCACAATGGGAGAAAAGCACGTGGCGTTTGTGTATGAGTCCTTTATTCTCTACGCACTGTCTGTGTGCATCGTGGGAATATACCTGCTTGGATGTGGAGGACAGCCTGCTAGGGGGCATGCCAGACCCGTTTCACCCACTCGGACCCTCAGATGGGTCGTGCTTGACTCAAAATATTGCTTACACTTTTAATTATTTGCCAACTTTTAAAAAATTAATTCATATAAAAAGTCCAATTTCTAGCTTTTCATTGGAAAAACACTGGACCCCCCCCCACCAGCCCCTCTTGACTGAAACACATCAGCAACTGCCACTTTTGGACAAGACATGTGTCCTCTGAGTGGTCATTGTCCCCACCCACCATTATTTCCCTCCTGTCTATTCCCAGCCTTGCCTCTGTGGGCAGTTCAGTTTGTAACCCCCATTAACACTAGGAAAATCAGGAGGATGGCAAGGCAGGGATATTTGGTGGTGGGATTCACCTTTTTAATTGAAATACATCTTTTAAATTAATTATTTTTATTTTTCAAATGACCATTTCATTCTGTAAAATTGGTGTGGAGACCATGTCTGACTTCCTTTGGCTTCACAAGGGGGAAAGAGAATTAAACTCAAAATTAGCCCAAGGCTAGATTTCTATCAGGTGGAGGTCAGACATGCCTCCATCGTACAACCTTCTTTACCCTATTCCGACACTAACCATCCCTCCCACAGCACTCTGCTTCACATCTCGTTCCATTGCAATGGCCGCATTGAACTATAGCAGTACTCACGATTACGAGGCTTATTAGGGAAGTGAACAGGGTACAACTCAGGATCAGAAATAACTCAGGATGCTACAGCTCTTCTTCAGTCAGGAGCGTCTCTTGTCCGCTGTACTACAGGCATGCCTCACCCTTGTCTTTGAGGGCCTTGTGATCCCTCAGCCTCTGCCCTGCTGAGGCAAGTGCTACAAAGCTCCTTTAGCCAGTCTGGAAATACCCACAGGCATTCAGCTGTACTTGCTCTGTGGGCCAGAAAGCCGGCAGCTGCTGTGTAGCTGCCTCTGTTGCTACCTCTGTTTTTTCAGGTAGGGGTTCTCATGTTTCACTTGTGGCTCTTCTTTCTTGATAGTCCCTGCTTCTGAGATGGCTCCTTTTAAACCTAGTGGGATGGCAAAACTAACCAATCCTAGTGTTAAGAGTCCTGTCCATTCTATTTGCACGGTGGCTCTGTAGGATAAGCACTAGACAGCGAACCACAAGGTCAGAAGTTCAAACCCACCAGCTGCTCTTCAGAAACACTATACAGGGTTGCTATGAGTTGGAACTGACTCGACCACAGTTAATAACACCACCAACAATAACGACTTTGGATAGGAAAGCCATATCAAATAAATTAACAGTTCTACACATGCTTATAAGGAGCTCTGGTAGCGTAGTGGTTACGAATCGGGCTGCGAACCTTAAGGTCAGCGGTTCGAAACTACCAGCCACTCCACGGGAGATAGATGAGGCTTTCTACTCCCGTAAAGATTTACAACCTCGGAAACCCTGTTCAGGGTCGCTATGGGTCGGAACCGACTCGACGGCACTTAACAACAACAACAACACATGCTTATAGTAGCTCTGGTAGTGTAGTGGTTACGAGTTGGGCTGCGAACCTCAAGGTTAGCAGTTCAAAACTACACAGCTGTTCTGTGGGAGAAAGATGAGGCTCTCTGCTCCCGTAAGGATTTACAGCCTCAGAGACCCATGTAGGGTCGCTATGAGTCGGAACCGACTCCACGGCACATAACCACCACCACCACCACACATGTGGCACTGTGGGACAAGCACTGGACTGCAAGGTTGGTTTGAACCACAAGGTCAGCGGTTCAAACTCACCAGCTACTCCTTAGAAACCCTATACAGGGTTGCTATGAGTCGTAATTGACTTGATGGCACTTAACAACAACAACAGTGCACATATACTTATGGAGCCCTGGTGTGGCACTGGAGGGTAAGCACTGGACTGAAAGGTCCATTTGAACTACAAGGTTGGCAGTTCAACTCCACCAGTTGCTCCTTGGAAACGCTATGAGTTGGAATATAACTTGATGGCACTTAACAACAACAACAACACACATACTTAGGGAACGTGATGTCTCCATAATCACTAGACTGTGAACCATAAGACCCAAAGTTCAAGTCCACCAGCTGCTCCATGGGAGAAAGATGAGGCTTTCTGCTCCCTCAAAGACTGAAAGCTTTAGAAATCTTAAACAAGGTCGCTGGGAGTTGGAATCAACTCAACTGCACTTAACAACAAAAAGACTACAAAATAATTAGGACTTTTTTTATTGTGATAAAACATACATATTATAAAGTTTATTATCTCAACTACTTTTAACGGGCATTTTTAATGCACTATTAGAAGAAAAACAAGGCTACCATGGACTGGTGTGTCTCATTGCTCGAGAACATCATTGGTGGCTTCCTCATTGTCCACTGAGAGACAGGCTGAGAGAGACTGTTTCAGGTTTCAGATTAGAGATCTGAACTCTGAGCCCTTTCTTAATTTCTTGTCCCTAGATCTTGGCAGAAACGAGGAAATCGCTGTAAAAATGTCGACTTCAGTTCTGTTCGCCTCCCTCTGGCTTTACTGATCACTTGTTGATGAGGGAGGCCGTGTGTGAACTGGAGTTCCGATACTGTCCTAGCCACTCGCTAGCTGGAGTGTCTCAGCTCCATTCTCACCTCAGTAGAATGGGCCACACCTTATAAACCAGGCCAGCAAGGCACACAGTTGGTGCTCAATGAAGGATGATGTGCAGGCCTTAGTTAACATAACACAAACTTTCTTCCAAGTAGGATCACATTCACAGGGACCTGAAAGTGAGTGAGCCATGTCCCTGGTGTAATAAGACTTACAGTTTAGTGTGGGCCCCTCTTGGTGTCACTGCTGGGCTCTATGGATGTGTGTTCCTTACTACACCCTGACAGCTGGGCAGCTGTTTCCTTGGTGGAAGGGAATAGCCCACCCTCCGTAGCCACCCTTAGAGATGGGATCATGCCCCAACTGAACCCTTCATCTGGGCCCCTGATTTCTCTAGTGAGGCGCTCTGAGTCTGAAAGATTGGGCTCCGGCTTTCCTAGATACTAGGTTTACCGACAGCTGCTGTAACACAAATACCACTAGAAGATGGCTTTGAAAAACAGAAATTTGCTTTCTGACAACTCTGGAGGCTAAATTAGAATCCTGGTTGTGCTGATTTCTTCCTTGTTGGTAGCCCCAGTGTTCCCAGATTCCTCCCCTGGTTGGAGACGACCCTCACATGGTGTGTTTCTCCTCTATGTGTGTCTGTTCTGCTCTTTTCACACTCAGAAGTGATTAAGGTTAGGATCACCTGGTATGGCTGAGTTAACGCAACTGAAACTTACTTCCAAGTAGGATCACGTCTATAGGTATCAGGAGTAGGATTTCATTTTGCAGGGGACACACAACTTAATTCATAATAATTGACTTGCTGTGGTACCCTGGGCAAGCCACTCCTCTCTCAGTGATTCTCTTCCTGCCTCTGTAACACTCCTGGTTGGCCACTATGATGGGCTCTTCTTTTCATGTCCAAGGTTATTGGATATTGTGGATGGGTATAAAAGAACAGGAAAAAATATGCCCGATGGGCACGAGGACTGTGGTGGGGTGAATGTTGGACCTGCCAAGTTCATTCTTGGATCATCATCTACCCACTCAGCACCCACCTCCCTCACCCTGTCTAACCCTTTGAGACATGCAAGATGCCACCCTGGGGGTGCCAACGAGGGGCTCTGGTCCTGGAGGAATGGAGGCAGCAGGCTATTGTGGATAGCCTGGCATATAATCTGTGCCAGCCACTGTGCTGTGCCCACTGAGTCCCTTCATGAGGGCAAAGAGGGCACCGTTGTTGCCTCCACACAGGGGGTAACCTCCATCTACTCTCAGGCTACTGTGCTATGCCCAAGATTGGCACTTAACAACCGATGATAAAACCGAATGCTACAGACCCTCTCTTCTTCTCGTCACCCCCACTTGAGTTGATTGCTCTCCTCCCTCTTAGGCCAGCTTTCCCTGGAGCTATGGGGCGGGCAGTGCTGGGGAGGTTTGCAGAGCAGGGACCCACTAACTAGAGGTTTCTCACTCTCTTTCTTCTATGTGTCCTTAGGAGCTATGAGGTGCCACGCTGCCACCAGCTGCCACTTGGTCTGGCTTTTTGTGCTGATGTCTGGGTGCTGGGGTAAGTCTGACCTTCTCCTGATGGGGGGCTGGGCTGGAGGGCTTTGTGCTGTGGGAGAGCGGGTCAGGTGCAGGCTGCTCTGGGACCCTGGAGCCCCAGCCCTGCTGTGTGACTGAGTCCTAAACTTTCCTCTCTGGGCCTTAGTTGCCTTCTGCAGCACTCACAGGGCTGAAAATACCAGGTGTCCCCAGGGCCTGAGGTGTCATGTGAGGGCCTTGAGAAATGCTTGAGCAGGAAGGGAAGGAAATTCCTATGACCTTGAACCATCTTTCTCTGGCATGCAGGGCCGGGCCATGGTTTTCATCTGTTTCACAGTTCTTCTCTGCACACTTTGTGTGACCATGGTCCCTGGGTGGCACAAGAGGTTTTTAATAGACTGCTAACATAAAGGTTGCTGGTTCAAACCCATCCAGAGGGGCCACAGTAGAAAATCCTGGTGATCTGCTTCCTTAAAGATTGCTGTGAAGACTCATAGTGACCCTGTGTATGTTTTCAAGGAGCGACTAACCTTGTGGTTAGCAGTCCAGTGCTGATCCTACAGTGCCATACTAGGACTCCCCCCTAAAGTTTGTTGTTGTTGTTGTTGTTAAGTGTTATCAAGTTGGTTCCAATTTAAAGCGACCCCGTATAGGGTTTCTGAGGAGCAGCGGGTGAGTTTAAATTGCTGACCTTGCGGTTCAAACTGACCTTATGATTGAGTGATTATCCTACAGAGACACCAGGACTCGGAAAATCCCTAAAGATCACAGTCAAGAAAACTGGGGAGCAGTTCCACTCTACAACACATGGGGTTGTGATGAGCTGGAACTGAATGGCAGTGGATTTGGTTTGGAAGGTGTGACCCTATGCCTGCCCATGGGGTATGGAAGAAATAGCACAGTCTGAGGGTGTCCAGAATCTAAAACCCAAACCCAAACACACTGTCATTGAGTTGATTCTGAGTTATAGGGTTTTCTGGAGTCCTGGTGTGGCACTGCAGGATGATGCACTGGACCACAAGGTTGGTTTGAACCGCAAGAGTGGTGGTTTAAACTCACCAACCGCTCCTTGGAAACCCTATACAGGGTTGCTATGAGTCAGAACGGACTTGCCGACACTTAACAACAACAGCAATAGGATTTCTGAGGCTGTCCTGGTGTGGTGCTGTGGGTTAATGCCCCAGACTGCAAAGCCGTTTGAACTGCAAGGTCGGTGGTTTAAGCTCACCAGCTGCTCCTTGGAAACCGTATATAGGGTCGCTATGGGTCGGAATCGACTCGATGACACTTAACAACAACAACAACAACAACAACAACAATCTTTACAGAAGCAGACAGTGTCACTTTTCTACCTTGGAGTGACTGGTGGGTTTGAACTGCCGACCTTGAGGTTTGCACCCCAATACCTAACCCAGCAGGACTCCTTGTCTAGAGTCTAGATATGGAGAAAGACACATCTGGGGTTTTCTTTAATTCAGGGTGGCTGGGATGTTGCTAAGGACAAAGCCACACCTGAGAAGCCATCAGAAGGAAAGATTCATTGGATCTGCAGGGGCTGGAGGGGCCCAGCCAAAGAGAAGGCATTTCATCTGGGTTCTGAAGACTGAGGAGTGGGTTGGAGCAGGGGAGGGGGAGGAGGGGCATCCTGATGGAGAGAGCAGCCTGAGTACCAGTCTTCCTCCTACTTGCATTCTCTCAGGGCCCAGTGCTGACTCTGAAAGGCTGGGCATTGCCTCTGTCTGGGCCCCAGTGATCAGGTGATAAGGAGCCTTTCCACTGGGCTGCGCTGAGGGAGACCAGGACAGCAGCAGTTCTGGCAGAGTGTCCCAAGGGCTGTGGCATGCCTGGCGACACAGGCAAACACATTCCTGTGGGGGCCCAGCTCCTGCACTCCCTCCTGGGAACCAGAGAAATCTCCAGAGGAAGCTGCAGCCTGGCGCTTGTTGGAGTCCACGCATTTTGCAGCCTGAGAGTTCCCTGTAGGTCTCCTATCTTGGCTTCCATATTTGGAGGCATGTCTAATAGAATGCCCCCTGTGATGAGGAGCTCATTCCCTTAGAAGCTGCCCAGGATTGCCGCACAGTCTCAAGGACTCTGAGGAGAGAGAGAGTGGGAAGGAATCGCAGACCTTCTCTTAGCTCCTAGTCCATTTTACCCAAAGAGAAACTGCCTCCCTGAGAAGCAGCAGGCCAGGTCTCTGATCCTCCTTGGGGGCATTTGTCAGGCTAGTAGTCCCTGCCTTCCAGTCTCTGAGTTCATCAGTGAGACCCCGCTTTGACCCTCTGAATCCACAGGGTGCCTTGCCCAGCCTCCCCAGGGACTCCGGGACTTTGGACACTCATTTCCTTCCTCCCTGTGTTCCGCTCAGTATCTTCATCTGTTAACAGAAGAAGCCTAACACTTATCTCCCAAACCATACATCCCACACTGCCCCAACCCACTTCAGAATTTCCATCTGGTCCCATGGCCCTGCATCCATTTTCCCTGCATCCATTGGCTAGCAGTGAGGGACAAGCTTTCTGATGTCAAATCCCTTGTCAACCTGTCATCTTTGCTGCCCAAGCCTCCTGCCCTGTCCCTCCCTCGCCATGCTGACCTCAATGTGTTCCTCAGCATTTCTCACCCTTAGTCTCTGGGTGTATTGGGGAGGCAGGAGGCAGTCAGACCTGGGCTTACATGGAGCTTCCCGCTGGGTCTGATAAACCTCCTGATGGGTGTTCAGGTAGTTTCAGGTGCTGGGTGCTAGCTGTCTAGTAGGGTTACCTGGCTTCCTTACCTGACACCAAGCATGCCAGCTTCCTGTCAGCTGGAGCTCCAGTGGACCACACTGTACCCTTCTCCCTCCCCTCAAGCAGAATAACAGACAGAGAGAAGGGCAGAGCTTTTGTAAACTGAGGGCCAGAGGTAGAGAGATTTCCCCCAGGAGGAGAAAGTGAGGCAAATCATCCAAGGCCCTGACTCCTGGAAGGCTACTCTTTTTTTTTTTTAAAGTGTTTTATTGTGAATTATATGATAGTTTACATGGGAGAACATTAGTTTTACATTCATTCTATCGTACATCGAATCTTTGCCATGGTTACAATCCCCTCCATGCATCATCAACCAACCAAAGGGTATAGCCTGCAAGCCTGCACCCTGCACTATCCACCTGCCCCCACCCCCCCAAGTCTTCAGCACACAGTCGCTCTCCCTCTCTGAATCTAAAGCCCCCAGCTGCTCCATCGCTCCACGTCATCATCTCTGCCTCCATCTCAGGCATCACTGTTTCTCTGGGTAGGGTCCTGCTCTTGGCTCTTCTCCGTTGATGGTCCTAGGGACTTCTGCTCCTAGACTGAAAAGTTAATCACTTCCTTCCTTGCTATAAAATGTCTACCTTTACATTTCCAACCTTCACAATCAGTCCTGATAACAATTATTCACTATTGTATCACAAGAGACCCGTCTGCATTTCATTTCATCAGCTCCGCCTAGGCAGATTGGATGCTACTCAGTGGAGATTCTGCCTGGAAGGCTACTACTCTTGACTCCCAGGCCAGTACTCCTTTCTGGTCCGGAGGCAGTGGTCTGAATGTCCTCTTTGAGCGATTTCTTCCACATATTTTTGCTCCCTTCTGGTCCCACTTCATTGATTTGATGCCTGGGGAGAAAAGCATAGATTTGGCTTTAGGCTAACTTAAGTTCAAATCCTAGTTCAAGTCCTGGTGTGGCACTGCGGGTTAATGTCCTGGACTACAAGGTTGGTTTGAACTGTATGATCGGTGGTTCAAGCTCACCAGCCGCTCCTCGGAAACCCTATGCAGGGTCGCTGTGAGTCGGAATCTACTCGACAGCACTTAACAACAAGAAGCTCAAAACTAGGCCCATGCTAACTTTCTTGAAGCCCTACGAGGAATCCCCTTGTCCCACAATTCTGGCTAAAGTTCATGTTTCTTGGCCTGGCATTCAAAATGCATTTCTGTCAAATCTAGCAGGAAGCTGCCGCACACAACCACACCCCATGTCTGGTCATTCCCAGAACAGGCCCGTGGACCTGGTCATTCCCAGAACAGGCTCCTGTTCTTCTTGTCACCTTGTCAGCCTGTCCCTTACAGTTGCCACGCCAATGCTATATTCTCTGGGAGCTGCCCCCAGCCTCTCTCTTCAGGCCTGTGGGGCTCAAAGGCTGTATTCCTATTGTTGTTGACTGCCATCAAGGTGGTCTCTGACTCATGGAGACCCCATCCACCATGGGATCGTAGGCTTGTGATCCATAGTGGGGTTTTCTCTGGTGGGTGGTGGCTGAATTCGAGGTGTGTTGGTTGACATTGGAACCTGAGTCTCCAGATTCTACCACTGAACCATTACCGCCCCCCACCCCTACCCTCCCACCCCGCTTCAATTCCTATTGTTGTTGTTGTTAAGTGTGGTCGAGTCGGCGCCGACCCATAGCGACCCTGTATAGGGTTTCTGAGGAGCAGCTGGTGAGCTTAAACCCCCGACCTTGTGGTTCAAACTGACCTTGCGATCCTGTGCTGTATCCCACAGCACCACACCTATTAGGACTTTTGAACTATTTTAAGTAATGTTTGGTCAAGTAGAAAGTCATTGAAAAAGAGGTAGACCCTCTATGAGACGAATTGACACAGTGGCAGCCACAAAGGACCCAAGCATACAGACTTGTGAAGATGGCACAGGACCAGACAGTGATTCATTGTGTCATTGTGAGTCAGAATTGACTCCACAGCACCTAACAACAACTACAAAGTCTGGCAGAAATTATGTTTACTATTGTGGTGTCAGGGAGGGAAGCTCAAAGTGAGAGTTGGCCCAGAGAGGGTTCAGGGCAGAAACAATTATTACTGTCAACAGTGTGGAAGAGGGTAAATATGCAGGACAAGGATGGTGGACGTCTCCTTTCTGCCTCCACTCACGTTCCTCTTTAACCTCAGGGTTCCTGTTTGTCTCCATGCTTGACAACTGGATTGTAAGAGAATAAATACTGCCCCCTCCTCCACTGCCTCTGGTCCACCCCCTCCCCGTCCC